GGGGGAGGACAGAAGGCCTATTATCCAAAACAGGCCGTTGAAGCCAGCAGGGTTCCAGATGCAAGCCTGACAGGAAGGTCCAGTCTGGGTCACCTAAGTGAGGCTCTAGAGGATGTCATACCAACAGAAACACGGCCAGCTTGGACTGAAGGGGACAGAGAGAAGATGAAATGAGACAAGGGGTTATGACAATGAAAGCAAAGACTGAAGTGACGAAGCCATGAGCCAAGGAGCAAGGGCAGCATTCATCTTGGAAGAGGGAAGGAAATGGGTTCTTGCCTGTGGGGGCTACAGGGCCAGAGGCTGAGGAAGTTGCTGGTCTGGGAGTCATCCCGGCCTTGTCATAGAAAAACGAGGTGGCAGCTATGCCCTCAGATAAAACTATTCAAGCCTCCCTCTTGATTCAGTCCTAGGTGTGACTGGATCTTGGTGGTGGCCTAGTACAAGTCCATATTCCCATCCCCAAAGCTGTCACATGAGCCAGCTGAGGAGCAGCCAGGGGCTGGGGGCCAGCTGGGGCATGGGGACCAGGACTTGAATAAGCCAATCATGCCCCCTCTCCCTGACTCCCTCTTTATCTCCTGATTACCAGCCTCAATATACATGGGGGCCTCTTGGAAAATTCCTTCAGATGTCACCTACTCTTGCCTGTGGAGCTGGACTGAGGTCCCCTAGGACCCTCAGCATGGTCAAACCAAGCTAGAACAGTCCCCAGAAGTAAAGGCAAAGGAAGTCCTTGGCAACAACCCAGCAGGGGCTCCATAAGAGCCTGTCATGAAGAACCTCCATGTGATTGCCATCCAGAGCTCTATCCTGGCAGGTGGCTGGCCTGGCCGTTCGCCCACCCTCCTCACACTGCAGAGCCCTCTGAATCAGCCTGGGAGGCAGTCCCCTGCCCAAGCCCCACCTCCATTTGGAAACACCTCATTCCTCACCTATGGCTACTTTCTTTAAAAAACCAAAATGTAGTCTGCCAAAGGATTTTGTTTTCTCATTTGTGAACTTAAATGAAAGTCTTATCAAGATATAAAAAAATCAATTGCATTTATAGTGGATATTCAATGCACCAACATGATCAGAAAGAAGAGACTTTTGTGTATATCAATGACCTTAGAATGAGGGCTAAAGCTGCAGTTGCCATGCCATACCCACCAATGCAGCCCCAACCTGCTAACAAAATACGGGACAGGTACCGGCCCCACCCAAAGAGGAGAAAGAGCTAAGGGCCTGCTGGGTCCAGAAAGCTGAATGAGGGGGAGAAGGGGTCTCCAGGCCCCAGTGGGGAGAAGGGTGGGAAAGAGCACTGAGAAAGCAGGACAGATGAAAGAACTACACCCGAGGGGAAGATTGAGGCCCAAAGCATGGGGACCAGGAGGGTCGCCCCCTCAGGCCAGCCAGTGCACTTCTGCTCAGGATGTCATTACTGTCACAATATCCTTTTCGGTCTTTCTCATAACTAACGACTCCAAGGAGGGAGGTTGTGCATTATTTCTGTCATTTTACAGACGGAAAAGCTGAGATAAAGTGATGACATTTGTGTCCTTCCCTTGCTGACACCCTTCTTCACAGGCAGGAGCCTGATGAGGAACCCAGGGGAGCAGCATGGAGCCACTGGTCCTAGCCCCACATTTTGGTGGAGCCCTGTCTTTGTCCCTCATCTCTCTGGGTGGGGTGAAGTGGAGCCAAAGCTTCCTGAACCAGGTCATAGAGGATGGCTCTCCACAGGACAGGAGGGGCCACTGATCACCAGGAAGTAGCCCAGCCTTCTTGACCAGGTGCCTTCACCCACACACACCAGCCAAACTGCCTGGACCGTGGCCTCTGGCCTGGACCTGTTGTCTAAGAAAACTGGCATCTCAAGAATCAGCCCTCATTCTGTCAAAGACTTAGCCTCATCTCAAGTACCTGTGCTCAAATGTACCCACTCCGTTCTGCTTAGGCCACTCTGCTGGAACTGAGATCGGGCCCAGCCTCCACCATTAGACTGGGGGCTCCCTAACAGCAATTCTGGATCTCTCTCCCTTCCACTTTTACATGTTTACTCCCAAGACTATTTCTTGCTTATTCTTTTCTTTTTAATACCCTGTTATCTCCCCTGCCAAAAAAAAAAAAAAAAAAAACACTGGCATTAAAAGATTGATACTTTCCCCTCCCAGATACCCATCTGTCTAACTTGGATTTCCCTCCATAGACTGACAGAGATCCACTATGTATTTGCCATTCGACAAATGGGTCTGAGTCTCCTCATTTCTCAGATGGAGAAAGCAAGTCTCAAGAGGTTGGGTGACTTGCCTGTCAGGATGCAATCAGTCTTGGACCTCTGGCCTTCCAGCCTATCGTCCTTTCCCTAGACAACCTCACCACGGCCTCCTGGTGTTCACCCCAAGTAAAATCCAGGAGCCAGGACAGGAACTGGGACAAAGAGGAGGAGGACACAGGGGCCCAGGCCTTGACCCCAAGTTCCTATTTATAATCCTCGTTCCGGAGACGGCCACTTAAACACACATTCCTGATAACTGAATAATCTTTGGCACCAAGCAAAAAATAGCCTGTGGCCCAGACCACAATTGCACAGCTGGAGCAGGGTGAGCAGGGGCAACACAGGGCCCCAATGGTGCAGGACAGGCTTCTGGGGGGGGGGGGGGGGAGCGGCAGGCAGGGCTTGGGGTTGGGACAAGTGAGTGGAACTGCAAATATAGCAGTTAAATATAGCCTTGCCGACCTGGACATGGTGCCAGCCTCCTCTGCAGGGATCGTTTCCCAAATAGGCTTGGATCTCCTTTTACCAAAGGAAATGAGAGCCAGAGTCTTGAAGGGAGGAACTGGAGGGATCTTGATGGCAATGGAGCCCAAGGCTCTGAGAAGTCTGCAAACAAACTGGGGACCAAGAAAAATGGCTCTGATGACATCTTCTGGAATTGCCAGTCTGATCAGGGAGGCATGGCTGTTCCCTGAGGCAAATAACAGAGGATACCTCATTTCCCAATCAGCTGGTCAAGACCCCATGCATCTTCCAATTCCAGGAGAACTGATGCTGAGGCCTCTTCTCTAAGAAGGCTCAGACCAGGGTAGAGATGGAAGTGAGAGACATGGAAAATTCTGGAATCCAGAACCCTAAGGGATCTCTGAGGCAAGCAGTAGGCACCTGACCCCCTCCCCCAAGGCAGGGGCCCCAGAGAAAGCAGCCATGGGCCCTCCCTCCCTCAGGACCAGCTGGCCCCAAGATGAACCAAGGTGCTGCTTGAGCCAACACCCTTGACAAACTTTTCTGCTCTTAATGTTTCCTCTCAGGACCCTTCAGTTGCTCCTCTGGGGCACAAGCTTGGTTCTGAGTTCTAAATTTTGGAGAGTCTATGTGGCCCTTCTTCAGGATTTATAGACAGTAATAAATAAGGTGCATGACTCCAGGTCTCAGGTCCTCCTGCCTACACGGAGGCATCCCCTGCATTCCCAGGACATCTCAGGCAGGGGCTCACTCACAGCAGGGGATAGGTCTCCTCACCTGTCTGCTTACCATAAGCCATCTGAAGAAGTTTCACCCCACATCTGATGCCACTATCCCTTGAGAACCCCCTCCATGCCCAGGTGTCCCCAAGCTCCCAAGGTCACCAAGTCTGCAGAATATCAAAGTACTGCTTTCCTTCTGACCCTCCCTGGGCAAGGGTCTGATCCATCAAGGTCTCATGGAGAAATGAAGAGAACATCCCCATCTCCATTACTGTGCTACAGGTACTGAAGCGTCACTGCCTGGGCCCCAAAACCCACAATGTCCAGCAGCTTCTCTCTATCAAGAGTACGATCCACACTTAACACACTGTGTTTGCCCTCCCTTCAACAGCCTTCCAATTTGGAGGAATCCCTCTTGGGTGAGGTCTTGTGAGAAGCAATGCCCCACTCCCCACCTCAGAAGGTGAGAAAGCCCAGGCCTCCCCTCACTGTCCCTGACAGCCAGGGCCAGGTACTCAGCACAGCTCAGCAAAGAGTGTGCCAAGAGCCACCCCTCAGCCTCCCCAGGCTGTGGCTGTCAGGGGTTCTGCGATGTTGTGGGGGAAGGGGCTGGGCCACGCAGGTCCCAGTGTGGGGCCCTGGCCCCTCACTCCACGAAGATGCCCCAAGTGCCAACATGTGCCAGGTGGTAAGCTAGTTACTGAGGGCAGCAGAGGGAACGAGAGCCAGGAGGCCCCTGGCGGCTGCTCAAAACCAGGAACGCTGAGAGCATTGAGGGAGGGCAGTGGGAAGCCCAGCTGGTGGCAGACAGGGATTGGGAAGGCCTCTGGAGGCCAGGAAGGCAGAGGGGACAAGGGATTCTAGGCAGCGAGCCTACATGTAAAAGGCCTGAGTGAGGGGAAGGGAGGCCATCTGAAGATGTGGAAGAAGGGCAGCATAGCTGGTGCTCAAAAGGAGAGGGGGAGAGACAGGAGGTACAGGACAAGGTTAGAAGAGGGAGTGGGGGCCAGATCATGCCCTGGACTCCTCCTGAGGGCAACAGGGGGCCCTGAAGGGTTTTAAGCAGGGGTTGACCTGATTGATTTATATGTGAGAAGGGTCCTTTGATCACGGAAAGTAGATGGGAGGGGGCCCGGACAGGATGTGGGCAGACCAGTTAGGAGGCACTTGCTAATGTCCAGATGAGCAGTGATGGTAGCCTGAACTCAGGCACTAGAAGGAGGTAGAGAGAGGTGAGCAGTCCCAAGACATATTTAGGACAAACCATAAGACATGGTAAATACTTGATGTGAGAAGGAGAGACAGAGAGAAGTAAAACATTCACTCATTCATTCACTCAACAGTGATGCAGAGTTTCTAACACACGTGAAGTTCTTTGCTGGCCACTGGGGATACAACAAGCTCTCTGCTCGTGGAGGTTTACCTTCCAGTGGCATGGGGGCAATGTAAAATCAACATGAAATCAAACACAAGATTGTTTTAGGTAGTGATAAGTGTTATGAAGATAATAAAAAAGGATAAATAATAAAGAGTGATTTGGGAAAAGGGCCTACCTTAGGTTGGGTATTCTCTGAAGCCATTTCCAGAGGAGAGGATTGAACGCTAAGGCTCCAAGTGGGGAAGAACTTGCAGCCTGTAAGGAACAGAAGGAAAATCAGTGTGAGCAGGGTGTAGTGTGAGAAGCTTGGAAAGTATGAGGTCCAAGGATTAGGCATGTGCACATGCTCAACATGCACGCACGCACACACGCACACATGCACACGCACGTACACACACATGCCCCTTAGGATTGTGCGGAGTTGACTTGACACAGAACAGATTTGGGGAGAAGAGAAAGAAAGGAAGAAAAGAAGGAAAAAAAAGAGAAGACAAGAAAAGCCATCACTGAGAGGTCATAAAATAAACAGGCTCTCCACTGGAGCCACCAACCAAATTTGCATCACTAGGTCAGTTCAAGGCACCTTACACTGTGAAATTTTATGTAATTGAGATCATACTTTTAGTCTGGTTTTTTTTTCACTATTATACTATGTAAAAAGATAACTTTGTAATCCAATTAAATGTGTTTACATAAGATATCAAAAACCTAAGGCTATATGCCATGGAAGTCCTTACCAAAGAACAGCTAAAGTAGCTGTGTAATTTCAGATAAGAGATTTTAAGGAAAAAGCATTACTAAAGATAAGGTGATTCCTTCACAATCGTAACAGATTTAGTTCATCAGAAATGTGTAACTAATTTAAATTCTATGCACCCAATAACAGAGCCTCAAAAGTGCAAAACATAAAAATTAACAGAACTTCAAAAAAAAGCTCACAAATCCACAATCACAGTAGGAGATTTTAAGACATTCTGTTAGTAATTGATATAATAAAAAGAAAAAATATCGGTAAGGGCATAGAAATTTTGAAAAACAGGATTAACAAACTTTACCTAATGCACCTATGTAGGAAACAGGACTCAACAAGTGCAGAAGATACATTTTTTGTTCAAACACACTTAGAAGATTTCTATAAATAGATCATATACTTGGTTCCAAGGCCAATCTCAAAAAATGTGAAAGAATGAAATCATAGAGCATGCTCCCTAATCCCAGTGCAATCAAACAAGAAAAGTGTAACAAAAAAAGATAACAGAAAAATCCCCCTATGTTTGGAAACTAAGAAACACCCAAGTGTCAAAAATAAATCATACGGAAACTAGGAAATATTTTCAACTGTATAATAATGAAAATATTACATATGAAAGTTCGTGATGCAACCAAAGCAGGAGGGAAATTTACTGCCTTATAGTAGATGTATTTCAAAAGGCTGAAAAATAATGAGCTAAGCATCAATAAGCTAAGTTAGAACACCACCAAAATAAACCTGAATAAAAGGAAATATTAAAAATAAAGGCAGAGAATGATGAAATAGAAAACAAACATACAATAAAGAGGTTCAACAAAAAGAAAAATAGAGTCCTTGAAAGAACTAATACAATTAACAAACCACTAATGAGAATGATCGAGAGAAAGAGAGAGAGAGAGATGGAATGAGAGAAGACAATAACCAACATCAGGAGGAGAAAGTGGACATCTCTGCAGATGCTCTAAAGATTTAGAAGGTTAAGGGAATGCGATTTTTAAAAAAATGATGAGAATAAAGTTGTACGCTGCTGATATATCACGGAAAATAAGAACCAGGGTGACCTGTGGGGGCAGCAACCACCGAGGCAGCCGCTGCCCATCTGCCCTCCCCGCCAGATGCCCTCGTGGCCCAGGCTGCAGGGCGTCCCATTCCAGGTGGAAGCCTTTTGCCTCTCTAGTCCTCAGGGGCTGAAGGGTCTCGGTGAACTTGACACAGACTCGAATTAACGCAATTTACCCAAGCCAGAGTGTAAACCAGATGCCAATTTGTTCTTCTGCAGCAGGGACTATCCCTTTCTATCGCCTAGAACACACCCTCCACTCCAGGATACCCTTTCCCAAGGTCAGAGTGGAGAACAGAACAGCAGAGTATAGTTAAGTACATGAGGTCGGGAGCCAGGCTGAGTTCAAATCCTAGCCCTCTCGTTTCACTTAAGCTCTCTGAGCTTACGTTTTCTCACTACAAATTTGGGATAACAACAGATTATTGTGAAGATTTCATGAGTTAATACCTGCAAAGCAGTTAAAACAGTGTCTGGCATACACTAAGCACTCAATAAACGTTAATCATAACAACTGCTACTACCTGAGAAGGCAAAGTCTTACCCAGAACATGGCCTGGTCAATGTGGAACTCGAAAAGAGTTGTGGATTGGTTTAGAGGGAAATTTTACTTTGCTCTAGGGAAGCCCAATAAAATATCTCAACTCTGCAAGTGGACCCCCGCCCCACTTCCTGAGCCTCTCTTCCCTGAACATGGCTGGCAAGCAGCAAGCAACTCTGGGTTCTCTGATCCTTTTCATTCTAATCTCACCATTCCAACCCACCCGACCTCTTGTAAATGAGCTAAGCATCAATGAGCTAAGTTCACAGTTACTGTAGCTGTGAACCCAAAGGAGTTTCTTAATGCCCTGTACCTTGATTTCACATAAATTTCACAAAATCATCAACATGGCTGGGTTGTTGTTCCAGTTATCTATGGGTGCGTCACACACTACCTTGACCCTAACGACTTAAAACAGGGGTCAGCAAACTCCGGGCCACTTTGTGGTTTTATACAGACCACAGGCTTAGAATGGTTTCTTAGGTTTTTAAAGAGTTGCAAAAAAATATATCAAAAGAATACTATTTTGTGACACGTTTAAATTATACAAAATTCTAACTTCAGTGTATATAAAGTTTTATTGGAACACAGCCACACCCATTCATTTATGTGCTCCCTGGGGCTGCTTTTGCAGGACGACAGACGTGAGTCATTGCAACAGAGACCTAAGGGCCCACAGAGCCCAAAATGTTTACTATCTCATCCTTTACAGAGGAAGTTTTCTAGGCCCTGGCTTAACACATCAACTGTCATTTATTTTGCTCATAAATCAGCACTCAGAGGGGACGGGTTATCTCTGCTCCTTCCAGGGTCATGTGAGGTGGCTCGAGGCCGGGAGTGAGTCACGCAGGGGAAAAAACTGTCTGAAGCCCAGCTCAGTCACCTCTCTGGCAGTGGGCGGCAGCTGTCAGCCGGGACCCCCTCCACTGGAACAGCTGGTCAGGTCACCTATGTGTGACCTCTCCATGTGGCTGTCTGGCTCCCTCACTGCAGGCCTTCAAAAGCAAATGTCCCAAAGGTTAGGAAGTGAAAGCCACCAGTTCCCTAAGCCCTGGTCCCAGAAACTCACACAGCATTACTTCTACCACGTTCTGTTGGCCAAGCTGTCCTAGAGCCCGGGTGCAAGGGGAGCAGACAGAGACTCCACTTCTCATTGGAAAGGGTGTCAAAGAATGTGGTGGCCATGTTTTAAACCCAACACAGTTGTTGTGAGCATTTGGGGGCACGAGGCAGGGACCCAAAGAATAGCTGTTATTATTACTGCTCTTGCTTCTGCTGTTCATCCGCATCAGAGTCACCACCATTCCAATTCTCTTTAAGGAAGCCTCTGCTCATGGGGCCTAGGAGATACCCAGGCTCCTCCCTAGCTGTTGACTTACCTACATTCAGGCTACAACTCATCTACAGGAAAGTGCACACATCCCTCTATTTTAGAAGCTCCTCACATGATTCTAGTGTGCAGCCTGGGTTGAGGACCACTGAGCAGGGGAGCAAGTCTAGCATTTGCTGTCAGTCCACATACAGTAAATGAACCCATTTCTCTAGCCCTTTATGTGAAGACTTGAACAAGAGAATCTGGCTCACCTCTTAATTCCCTGCAGAGTCCAGGCCAGGGCCTAGAGCACAGCAGGGTCTCAAGTGATGTCACTGGGGTGACCTGCATCTGAGGGTCCCAGGATTCCAGCCCTCCCATCAGGCCACCCCATTCCCTGCAAGCTTGTTCTAACACTGAGCTGACCCAGAGCTGACCGAGAGAGAGCAGAGGTGCCTGTACTTTTCCCAGCCTTCCAAGCCCCTTCCTTTCCCTGCTTCTCCTTCTAGAACGAGCAGTTTCTGGGACAACACATTGAAAGAGGCATGAGCTCAGGGCAAAGGAACCATTCAATTGCCCTTTCTCTAGGGCAGAGGAGCAGTACACTGGTTGTTTTAGGGGATGAAGAATGGACCTGGATGGGATGAGGATTGTCACCCAGCCATGCTGAAGGCCCACACACAGCCATGCACATCTGAAGAGCCCTTGCCATGGGCCACATTCCATGCCAAAGCCTGGCCTCCAGATGCCAAGCTCCAGTCAGGGCCACCATCTGCCATGGTTCCCATAGGACCCCCCAGACTGAAGCGATGTGCAAGAGTCCCTTCAGTTGTGAGCTGGGGCCTTCCAGCTGTAGGAACACATGGCCTGGTAGATCCACTGCTCCCCCAACCCCAAGCCTCAGCAAGGACTTCAGAACTCAGAGCTGCAAATGTCAAGACATTGGAGGGGGGACTTTCATCATCTGGGGCTTTGTGAGGTCAGTCTCATCCACATCAGTTACATTGAAGATAAACTGCTTCCCAGTCACACTCAGCCCTAATTCTGGTCACATCAACGTAACCTCAGACTGACCACAACCGTGGCCACAGATCAACCCTGACACTGACTCAGACTGATTTCAACCCTAGCCAAGACCAACCTCTGACACTGGCCACAAAACTGACCCTATCCAAAGACTAATTCCGACCCTAGCTACAAAATTGACCCTGACCCTGACCACAGACTGACCTTGAAATAGGATTAGTGGAATGCACCAAACCATAGCATAGTCTCATGGGCCCAAAGGTGCACCAGTCTAGCTACACTTGAGTGACAGCCATGTGGGCCAGGAGCAGGAAGATCCGTCCTGTGCAAACCCAGGGCCACCTGCAGCAGGCAGGTCCTGAGTGACTGCTCCCAGACAGGATGACTCAGAAGCACCTTCCGGAATGTTTGAAAGGGCCAAACAGTTGCCAAACATACCAGCTTGCTTGGCCTCTGGACCTTTGCCCTGGAGTTCCCCACCAAGCCATCCTTCGTCTCTTCTGCTAACTCTAATCCTGCTACATCCAGTTCCACCTGCCGGAGGAGGCTGGTCTGAATGCTCCACTTAGGTTTTCACCCACATGATCCTGATGGGAAGTGTCCTCTAAGAGGATCACTGAAGAAATTTTCTCTCCAACCTTCCAACTCAACACTAGACACAGCACCTTCCCCTGTTTCCCCAAACACAATTCAATAAGAGACCAGTCTGGAATTATTTAAATAAGATTTTGTTGCTTTCTTGTGTACATCGTTGCCAGGGAGAAGTCTGGTGCCAATTTGATTTGGGTTTCTTTTTGTAAGTAATCTGTTCTCTTTCCTCCAATGAGTCAGGAGGAGAGGGCTAGGGGGCAGAAGGGGCAAGGAAAAGTTCATCCCTTGGGACACGGGGACTGTGGACAATGGGGTGGGAGCCTCCTTGAGGGTGCCTTGGTCATGCTATCCTCCCACGACAACTACTGCACCTAAGCTCCAACTGCCACCCACTCTTTCCCCCTGTATTCCTGAGCCTTGCTCCTTAAGAACCAGGGCAATCTCTAGTCACAGCCTCTGTTCTCAGAGCTCTGCACTTCCCCTCTCTCATGGCAGGAGGCCAGTCCCCATTCCTGCACACACATGTGAGTATCTGCTTTGCATATTTATCTTTATCTGCTATGCATATTTATCTGCATGCATGTGTGCATGAATGCGTGTGTGACTGTGTGTGTTTGCACCTGTGCACATGTATGTGTATACATGTACATAGATATGGATGAGTGAGCATGTGTGAGATATCTAGATGTGAGCGTGCCTGTGTTCGGTATGAATGTGGGTGTGCATGGGTTATGTGGGTATTGTGAATGTGGTACATAAGAGATGTGTCTACGTGTGTGTGTGCTTGAGAATATGTTGCTCTTCCATCCCTGACCAGCAGTTTGCTTCTTGGGAGAGGTACCCTGCAGTGTCCCCTCACCTGTGTTTCCTGCACAGCCCTTGGACTGGATATGGCAAATTCCCAGCAAAGCCTCAGGGCTTGGGTCCAGTGGGACAAATCCCAGGCCTCCTGAGTCCGTGGCCCGTAGCCTTGATAGAGCCAGAAACCTGTCAGCAGTTCAGTGCCTATAGGTGGCCTGGAGAAACAAGGATACCAGGAGACTTTGGGGGTGGCCTTTTGCCTCCAAGTTGTTATCCCAACACCAAGCGCAACTTCATGGGGCAGTTACTGCCAGCACACAGCACCTGCAGCTAATGCTGTCCTTCTCTCCCAAAATCCTGCCCCCAGGCCCCAGGCCCCAAGGCCCAAGCCCACCAGCATGCGAAGCACTAGCTCCTGCTTTCCCACTCCACCACTAACTCCCAGATCCACCTGCTTAGCTCCACATGCCATACGTACCCTTCCAGAGAACGGGAAGAGGGAGTCTGTGTGTCCTCCACTCCCAGGAAGTTCACATTTTCCACAGCCAGGATTCTGAGCAAGCCTGAGGGGGAAAACCAAAGAACACCCTGAGAAAAGATCCCACGGCCCTGGGTAAAACTTCAACCTCCGTCTCAGCCCTGCCACCCATGAACCAAAATCTGAGGCTTCAGAAACCTCTCCAGGTTCTGCTGCACCCTATAGTTGGGAAAGATTATTAGAGAGTGAAGTGACTTCACCTGTCTCTCAAGGCCTGTCAGGAGTTTAGGTGCCCAGCACACAGGTTCTCACTCTGACATGCGCTACCCACCCGCCCAGGTAGAGAGAGAAGCAGAAAGTGAGGCCCTCTGAGAGGGCCGTGAGGCATCCTGGGAGGGGGCATCGTAGAAGGCGCATGCGTCATCCTGGGAGGGGCGTGAGGCATCGTAGAAGGCGCATGCGTCATCCTGGGAGGGGCGTGAGGCATCGTGGGAGGCGCATGAGGCATCGTGGGAGGGGCGTGAGGCATCGTGGGAGGCGCATGCGGCATCGTGGGAGGGGCGTGAGGCATCGTGGGAGGGGCGTGAGGCATCGTGGGAGGGGATTATGATTTGGGTCAAGTCCTGGCTGAAGCGCTTATTAGCTTTATGACCTTTGGCAAGGTTTTCTTTAGTTTAGCTTCTTTATATATGGTGACGATTTAAAAGCCAAACTGAAACGCTCTTAAGAGTGAAAGGGGACACTATGAATAATTATACCCAGACAACAGGTATGAATCTCAACCATTGCAGGCCAATGGGGACATGGGATCACCCTATGTCATCTACAGTAGTGATACTGAGGAGCAGGAGGGAGGAATTCCAAAGGGAAGAGCCCCTGCTAGATGTTCCCGCGTTCCACTTGGCCACGGGCCAGGGGCTGAAGGCGAGGGGAGGAAGAAAGGGCCGCAGGCGGTCCCTCTGCCTCGCAGCCGCTCTGCTCGGGGCCTCTTGCCCTCTCCCCGCCCTGCTCACCTCCGCATGCCCCGGCTCTCCGACTGTAAGGCCGCGCTGATGCCTTTAGCAGCCGCCCAGGTTTATCTCCAGGGGAGTGCTAGGTTCAAAGATCAGATAAATTTTCTGGCAGACGTGGGGCTGGTGGCCGACTGCCAGAGGTAGGAATGGCCCTGCCGGGGCGGGGTCAGCCGGGTTATTTTGACTCCTCGGCATGGGGTGAGGAGCCTTGGGAAGGAGAAATCTACAGTGTAGACGCAGAGAGACTCCCGTCTCTGATGAGCTGGACTTGGCTTTGTCTTCCAGCTTGGAACAGGAGAGGGAGAAGGAGGAACCGGGGCAAGGAGCTGGAAAAGGAAGGGGGAGAAGGAGCTGAGGAAAAAGAAACCTGGAGAAGGACCTATTTTAAAAGTCACTCGTTTTTGGTTCCAGCTCTCCCCCACCACACCCCAAAGCCCAGGCATTGGGCCACAGGGTGTGGTGACAAGGTGTGTGTGGTTGGTGACGGGAAACCCTTAGGCATCCAGGACAGCTGGGTAGAGGCCAGGTAGGGGGTGGGCAGGGCCAGCCATAGGTCACCTCAGCCAGTCCCCTGTCTCATCACCTCGAGTGCCCCTAGACCAATGCCTTCAAACTTTTGATAGTGACACACTTTTATGCTACAACCCAGAACCCATAAAGGTTCTCCCAAAATACTTGCCCCTATTAAGTCAATGCATGCTGTATTTTCAATTCTAGTCTTATTTTTAAAATGCTGATTGCAACCCAGAGCATTGTTTTCACAATCTACTATGGGTCATATCCTGTGGTTCTGAACACCACTGCTCCAGACTAGCACTTCCCAAACTTTAATGAGCCTGCCTATACAGCACCTGGGAGCATGCTAAATGCAGATTCTGGTTCAATCGGTCTGCACTGGAACCTGAGACTCTGCATTTCTAATAAGCGCCCGAGGGATATAATGCTGCTGGTCCTCAGACCCTGGAGAAAAAGTCCCCGGATCACAACTTCCTGGTCAGCACCAATTTCAACGAAGGGGCTTAGGGGTCACGCATGCAAGGTGAACGGAAGATGAAGGGTAACTGCACTGAGGGCTGTCCGTCGCTCAGCCTCTAGGCAAAGCCGCAACTGAAATGTAGCAAAGATATGATGGCATAGGATGGCAAAGAGCTGCCCCCCAGGGCCCCTGGCTGAACCGCTGTGATCGGGGAGCCAAGTGAGGGCACAGCTGCCAGTCGGCATTCGCTAGGCCTCACACACACAAAAAGGAAGGAGGGAGGGAAAAGGAAAAAAGAAAAGAAATTGTAGATTTGGGGACCTCACTCAGCACACTAGCAGGCAAGGCTGACATGTCAAACCGGGATTACTCCTCAGAAATCTAGCATTAACCAGCAAGAGCTGCCTTGTTACTGTTCCATTCTGGAACAGTAATGCTGACCTTGCCTGTAGGCAATTGATTAGGGCAGTGGGTCCCAAATAGAGCTCTACCAAACACTAGCTCAAGAAGATCAACCAGAAATGAGCGTCAAGGTCAACCGTGTTTGGGAAACAGCATGTTATCTCCTCCAGCCTCAATTGGAGCATTTTTGCTCACATTGGAAGATGACAAGAAGACCAGCAGTCAAGAACCCTATTTAATTTGCTTGAACGCATCCTTTTTCACACTTACACAACCATGGAACTCTTTTTCTCTTTAACCTACTGGTATGGACTGAACTGTGTCCCTTCAAAATTCGCATGTTGAAGGCTCTGATATGACTGTATTAGGAGATAAGGTTATATGAGGTCCTCGGAGTGGAGCCTTAATCCGGTAGGACTGATATTTTTATAAGCGAAGGAAGAGACGCCAGAGCGCTCGCTCTCTCTCTCTCTCTCCCTCTCTCTCCCCCCATGCGCTTCCCCAGAGGAAAGGCCATTTGAGGTCACAGGGAGAAGGCAGCCATTTGCAAGCTGGGAAGAGAGGTCTCACCAAAAACCAACCGTGATAGCAACTTGATCTTCGACTTCTAGCCTCCAGAACCGGGAGAAAATCAATTTGTGTTGTTGTTGGTATTCTGTACCGGAGCCCAAACAGACTAATATTATCCACAAGCATGCTGTGGAACTCGCTTTAGGGAAGCAGGATTAAACCTGTGCTTTTCATACCCTTGATCTTCTAGGAGACTTAGAAGTTCCTGTAGACAGGAGAGGGACTATGATCCCTGTTTGGAGGTTAGGAAATGGAAGTCCACAAGCATGAAATGAGTGGCCACAGAGCTGGGCAGGACTGGGCACATGGAATTCAATCTCACTGTGACTGACTCAGAAGACAGGTCCCCTGCCATCCAGCAGCTGTAGTCGACTGAGCATGGCATGATACTCCCACTCACAATAAATACGGGGCTATCTCCCTAAGCACGGACTGTGTAGTAAGGAAAAGTGGTGTCAATCAAAGGTTTCCTGGAAAAGGTGATTCTAGAAGGGGGCACAGAGTAGCCATGTTGCAAGTAACCAGGATCAAAACTGGTGAGACCCTTTGATGGCAGGAACTCTAGTACTAGGCTGAGGACCAGATATCTTCCTGGCTGGGCAACAGGGAGCCGGTGTAGTTCTTGAGCAGCAGGGCATGACATGGTCTGAGTTGGTCTAGGTGTGTGGGATAACTGGGAAGGAACCTGGATGTGGGAGGCCCGGAGGCCAGACCAGCAGTGACCCTGCAGAGATGGAACATGGAAGGATGGCGGCGGGGGGGTGGTTCACTTTCTCATTCGCCTCCCATGCTTGCCCCCATGATCTTGCTGCCCTGGGGGATGGTTGGACTTTTCCAGGTCTTGGCATTTAGAGCTGGTCCTGGCAGCCAGGTCCTCCCAGGCTCCTGGGAAACTGACAATGAGGGGTAAAGGGTGGATGGAAAAACTATTTAAGGTACTAAACACACACACACACACACAGCATGGATGGCTGTTGGGCAGGGAGGCTCTCTCTCTGCTCCCCTTTTCTGTTTCCCACATGTAAGTGAACCCTAGCTCACTGCTCTGATTTCCATGTATCCTCCCAGACCAACTCATTCAGTCATTCAGCCTGGTTTTGTCACCACATGAGGGAGGGAGAGTCCTGCGGCGGATTCTAGAGGAACTGGCCAGGGACCGAACCAGGGCACCAGCTGGCTCCCCAAAACATGGACAGTTCACCCTTCAGGACAATGACTCTGAGGTCTGAGGAGGCCTAGGGCTCTTCAGTGTGCCTTGGAAGACAGAGGAGTGCTGGCGGTGGCCACCCCCCATCCGCCCATCATTCCCATCCAAACGGGACTTGAACCAGCTCAGCTCAGCTTTCACTGACTTTCACAAATTGGGGCCCTCATACATCCATTCAGAAAGGGATCTACGTCTTTAAAAAACCATTATCGTAGGGTTGAGGTGGGGGAGCAGAGATGCTGAGCTGCAGCTGACGCTCCTGGCAGCCGGGCAGGGATCACAGTGGTGACAGAGAAGCGTGGGAAAGCTCTGCAACCCCCTACTTAATACACAAGGCAGTTCTAAGAGCTAAGGATGCTTCTCCCAGTTTACACTATGGAAACTGAGTCTGGAAGACATAAACTAACTTGCCTGCCCCTGACCACACAGCCAGGATCTCCCATCTTCCGTGGGGTGGCAGCAATTCCAGCAGCTATGGGTTACTGGGAGGAAGTCTGAAACACGCCACCGCTGCCCCAGTCCAGGAAACATCCCTCATGGTACATTCTAGAGAGGCAGCAGGACATGAAGACTTAGAACAGAAGTAGGGATCAGAATCCTGTCGCCACCAGCCTCTTAGAGCCCGTGTGAGCTTGAGCAAGCTGTTTGACGGCTCTGGCTCTCATCTGTTAAGTGGGGACAGACAGGACCTCACCCCCAGGGTTCTGGTGAGACGCAGTGAGTGCATATCCACGGTGCCCGACTCCTCACAAGTATACGTGAACTCACTCATTTGATTCTGTGTGGTTGCCCCCCCGAGGTAGTACAAATCAGCGGACTGGGAAGGGGGATTGCTGCCAGAGCCAATCTAAGTTCAAGCCTGCGTCATTTTCCACGACCTTGGATGTGACCCTCTTTCTGCCACTCATTGAGTGATTATTTGGGCTGGCAAATCCCACAGGAAAGCCTGCTGAGATCAAAGCCCAGCTTCCCACAGCCCCCTTTCTGAGCTCTCTGCCTCCTTCATGCACCCTGTTTGGCCAGGACACACACCCAGAAGGCGAACTCTCTGGGACCCGAGCACTTAGGGTCTCAGCATGGTGAGGCAGAAGAGGATTGGCGACCTGGCTCCCCTTGGCCATGACAGACAAGAGGCAACATCCCCCACTTCCTCCTCTACTTCCCTGTCTCCTGTGCTGTGGCCACAACTCACTTCCCAGGCTTCCCTGCAGGAGCCCCTCCTGTGGCCGCCCCCATCCTCCCTCAGATGAACAGGCGGCTTCTCCTCTCCTGGTCCTGGCTGTTCAAGGCCACAAGGAGGGCCTGGAATTGGGGCCCTGGCTGGAGGCCTCAATGTCTTCCAGGTGTGGGGGAGGCCCAGCTGGACGGGCAGGTGTGGGGAGGGCCTGAGCAGCTGTGGGGTGTCTGGAAGGCATTTGGGCAGCTAATGAGCTCAGGATCTAATTAAAACATTGGAGGAAGAATCTGGGCCCAAGCCATGCGGCACAGGAAGTACAGTCCAGGGGCCTGCCTGGGCCTGGGTTAAGTGGGAGGAGTGCCTGGCTGAAGAGCGGGGTCCAAGCGGGGACTCAACTCTGGCCCTGACCCCACCCTTCCCGGCCCCACCTCTTCCCCCAGAACCCGAGTTGCTTGGATTCTGAAGTGACCGGGGACTTGGACACCACACCACTGCTCTCTGCAGAGAGAATCGGTCAGTCGGCAACCGGCTGAGGGTTGAGGACTGGGGGCGGGGGGCTCAGGGGCGAAGACCGGGACTCTGCCCAGCTAAGTCCAAGGTGTTTCTGCGGACCGGACGTGAGGAGCAGGATCCAGGTGAAGAGAAAGCCGGGGAAGATTCACCAACCTGATAGCCCACTGCACCCCAAAGACGTGGGCATCCCAGTGGAGCGAAGCTGAGGCCATCAGTCACCGCCATTGTAACGGCATCGCCACCCTCACACTGTCTCCGTCAGCCACAGCCACTGTCACTGTCGCCATCAACCCTATGGATGCCACTTATCGATCCGCACGTCCTTGACAGCCTCCCACCCCCAGGTTGAACACCCACCCCTCATTTCTGGTCTAGCAGATCCCAGCTCCCTTGTACCTCACCCACCCCTCGACACATGCCCGCACCCTTCACCCCACCCCTGCTAGTGCCCTGAGGGGCTCAAGAGAGGAGCAAG